GCGCATGGCAAAAAGCCTCATCTCACCTCATCAAAACCCATCTTATCAGGTATCTTGGGCGGGACCGACACATATTGCGAAGGTTCCACTGGAGGGTTCTTCACTAAGGGGAAAATACAGAAACCCATTTACAGTCCATTTCATCAAAGACATTAACTTCCATAGACCGCAACCAAGGGATCTCTTTCAACCCCTACAACTGCAAAAGAGGCACCATCGATTGCAACAGTGGGGGCAAGCCTCCAAGAAAACTCACACCAGAACACCTGGATATAAACAATCCAATTAACCCAGAAATCACTTCCCGCCCTATTTTTCTATGATTCTATGAATCAACTAAGGCTGGAGAAAGGGAAATAAAGGATCTTTTCCACAACTGCAGTCTCTTTCCACCATAGACTTTACATTTTTTACTCCTGTTGAACAAGCAGCTGCTGCATTATGAAATTTACTATATGCCCCTGCTTATTCTTCTTGTTGGGAGGACACCCCTATCTCCACCAGTCAATTAAGGACAGTGTGTTTGAACAGGAAACCATTGACTAGAGCTCCATCGGCAGAAGCCATTCAGTTTCAGAGATCAGGAGAATGGAAGCTTGTGAAGAATGAAGAAGTATGTACGCCCTACATGCAGCCTAAGAAAGTCAGAGGAATAGGGCTCTAGCCTCAGATTTATAAAACTGTTTGGAAACGAATGGTATTAGCCCATACTCCCCCTTTTGCAGTACTCCAATTTACAAGTTGCTTCTAAACATCAAGGAATCAGTCCCCATCCCTTTAACTACTGGTCAAGAGAGGTCAGTTCCACTTTACTAAAAGAATCTTTGTGCTGCCAGGGGCAATACAAAGATATACTGTGAATCTTACCCTGCTAAGTACCCAAGGGAGCAGGGATGGAGTCCAGCAAACTCCAGGACACTCCCTGTACAGTACACACCAGACTTGACAGCAATGCACACACATGCCAGGGTGGATGGCGCTGCCATACAGTCCTGCTGAGACCAGAGGCCAGGAGAAGGGAAACTGAAAGAGGCTTGTGTGGCACACTGTAGCCCAAGGAAACCAGAGGCCTCAAAGGATTGTAGTACTTCTTACCACTAAAGGGATGCCACCACATCTTTGGTCTGTTTTTATGCAGCACAAAAAGCATTCATAGAAGCTAAACAAGTTATCCAGCTACCAGCAGGCAAGACCATGCTGCTCTCCTCACTACATGTAGGGGGCACAGTTCCTGACCCCCGCCTCCCCCCACTTCCAAAAATAAGAAAATCTAGGTTTGACGCCAGAGAGCAAATCTCCAGGACAAAGGCAAAGGAGTACAGGAGAAAAAAAAAACAAAACACACACTAAAGTAACTCCCTTCCTGGGCCTCTGTGGGCCTTAATTTTGCATGTGCCAGATATGGCCCTTACCCATGACCTCCAGCTGCGCATGCATGAAGCTCTCCGCCTCGTCCCGGAGAGTGCTGTGGGATCTCAGAGGTACTGGCAGGTAGCCATAAACGTCCTTGTTGCACACAAACATCTGGACTTCTGAAACGAACACACACAAACAGGCACAAGTAGGACAGTGCTCAGCTCTCCACAAGTGACAAAACTAGCCCTGTACACCTGACAAGGTGCTCTTTGGCTGACTTAAGAAGCTGGGGACAAGGGATCTCCCATGGCCTGAGTAAAACAACAGCAAAGGACTACATTGGGCCAAAACCTGTAGTCCAAGTGCTGCAAGGTAACAAAATCCTAACAGTGCCTGTTATGTGGAGTTGCTTGTTATAACAGAGCGCCAGCTCTGCTGGAGTGCAATGTGGGAAGCCCTTACTGTTTGAAAGTCAACTCCTAGTACTAGGATTCCCTGCAAAATTCACTCTACCTCATGAGGATGTGGGATAAGGCAAGTCATCTAGAGCAGGGGGGCAGCCAAACAAAGAGTTCACAAGATACAACCTCCCAAAAGGTTCACTGCCCACCGTTGTCATTGCCCCCCCACCGTGCCAACATTTCTTATAATTCACAAACTTTACCAAAATTTTTGGTAAGATTTGGAGCTCAAATTACAGTTCTGACTGTCAGGCAGCAAAGCCGAGTTAGGTGACATTCTGCCCCCAACCCACCCCCAGTGCCTGGCATCCCTTCCCTCTATCTTTTGGGGAAGAGATACTGAAATCACTATTAAACAAATAATTCAGCTGTCCTGATCTACACATGCTGTACACTAAGATCCAAAGACTTCAGTCCCCTCCAGAGGACATAGGCCAACATGTGCACTAGTACGGCAGAGAGAGAAGCAAGGGTGCTCCTAAGGTAGAGTTTTGGGTCCCTGAAAAATAACAGAAATGTAAGCTTCTGAAAGACACAGAATAAGAAAGTAAAGGTATGTGCCACTCTGGTATGTGGAAAGGAAGCTGACCAGAACAGGTGGAGTTTGGAGGCGGACTAGGCAGGCCAGGACATGGCTGGGGAAGTGGGGACATGACACACAGTAGGGGCATGGGGTTCTGGTTCAATGTGCAGCTTTGGTTTACAGAGCTAAGAACGTGGACAACTAAGAAAGCGAACCACCATACAATAAGCTGCTGCCTGCAGCAACTGTGAAGCAACATGGTATGACACAAGGTCACAGGTTCTAAAGACCTAAGTTGCTTAATGGGGCAAGAAGTAAACTGGGAAATGGTGGCAGTGGGCAAAGTGGGTACAGATGAAGACAGACATACCAGTCTTCCTTTGCAAACTAAATGTTGCAATAAGTAGCATAGAATAAAACTGTCAAGGTTTTGTAGACAAACCATATCCACAGTTTCCCTTCCTACCTTGTCAACAACTCCATTCTCCAAACATTTCAAACTGTGACCACACTCCCCATTCCACCCTAAGAGTATCTCAGACTGGACCACACATGCTTCTGTAGGTACACTGTTAACTTCTGGAGAGTACACAAGCAGAGGGAATGGGAAAACATAGGAAAGGGAAATTGTAAATGGAGGAAAAAAGCAGAAGACATGAAGATTTTGTCATCTCTCTCCAGTTGCTGAAGGGATTATAGGGTGCTTGTGGTAACAAAGCATTCATTTTACTATCCATCACACACAATTGCAGGGGTACACATCAGTAAAACAAACAGAAAAAAGTGTGAATTCCACTATACTATAATACAGGGTACAAAAGCAGAAAGGACTACTTTGGATTCACACCCTTTAGCTGGCCACAATAATACCTCAACTGGAGACCTATGTAATAGTCACAGTTCCCTAAATGGGATGAATACCAATTTCCTCCAAAAAAGCCCTTCTCATCCTGTTAAAAATTTGAACCCTCCACACATTGCCACTCCAAAAATCTTCATTTACACAGATGTTTTGTTAATACCTGGTGATATCTCAGGCCCTGCCACAATGTCAAGTTCAGTAAACTTAGGGGGGGAAAAACAACTGAGAAACCAAAAGTTGTATAGAATTGGTATATACCAGCCTGCTAAATCTGGCTCCTGGGGAATTACCTGCCAATACCCACCTGTAATCATTCACAAGCCCTCCAGTTGTGGTAGATGTAGTTGCACAGAATAATAGAAGAATTAGCTGAAAAAGCTTGGCAGACCTATGGCTGTAATATGAGATGATTTGAGAAGCCTGTCCTCTGAGTATCTCACCTCACTCCACATGTGATGAAAGCTATTAGATGCATGCATAACACCTAAGCATACAGTATTTAGCTACATAGATTGTGCCAGCAGCAGTGCCTTGGCATCTTCTTGTTCTGGGGAAAGTCAGCAGGGAGGTAGGATACGAGACTGGTATGTGTTATGATGGGTATGTAAATATGTTGCTCTAGATGGCATACTGTGCTAAGGGTGCAAGGCTGCTTCTGGAATGTAGGCTCAGCTCCTCAATTGTATGTAGTAGACATAGGCTGCTCCTGTTCAGTCTCTCATCTAAGCACACTTTTTGCCTCAGCCGAGAGAATAATTTAGGCTCTTTCCTAGAGTAGCTCTATGCTCCATTTCGTGAGTGATGTGAATGGTCTGCCAAGTGTGAGTATTGATAGAAATCTACTGGAGCACCTCTCAAGGTGGGGGGACAGAGTTAGCGTTGCACTGGCATGTACCTTAACTCTGCAGCTCCTGGGTTTCAGAGGGCCGAGTTTTGCTGAACTTGACATTGCCTGTTGACAGCGAGCACCCATGCACAGTCCTGGCTCTGCCTCAAAGGCAGGGATGGATTAAGTAAAAATAAGTATGGTAGTGACTATAACAAACTGCTGAGAGAAGCTCAAATTGTCATAGCAAACACTTCTAAAAATAAGGAAGGAAGTTATTTTGTTGCTGAAGCAATCCAAATATGTTTTACTGGTTACTGTTTCACAGAATAAGGCTACCAGCCCTTTTCTGAACACTGCTTAGTCACTGGGTCACTGAAAAAGCAGGTAGACCATCATCCTCATCCTAAAAGATGGCCAGACCAGACTGGTCAGAGAAAGAGCAGAAAATGAAATGAGCATCTCCAGCAGCTTTGGTCACATCCTGAACACTATCTACAATGTGACCCTCAAGTTCTTGTTATCACACCCATTCCTTCATGTCATTTTCCTTCCCTGCTTTATACCTCCTCTTTTGAA